GTTGGTGCTTAAGATTCGTTGGAGGGCGGCGGCTACATTCTGGATTAAAGTAGGTACATACATACATACACAAATATTCAAGAGTTACTAAATACTCGTCTTGGCTCGCAAAACATATGTACAGTCTTTAATTAAGTATGTTTACTTTTGATCTTCAGTGCAATTGTGCGCATTTTCTGAGACAAGATTTTACGAATGTAAACAAATTTATATGGAAGCACACAAAGCCACATACAATATGAACATACATACATACATATAATCGGCTAGAAGAAAATAATAGCTTCGTATTTAAGATTTTCATCAGTTGGACGATTTATAAAGGTAAAGTCGAAATAACCGCAGAGAAATTCATTTACATGGAAAAAAATTTAAAATTAAAAGTGCAAAATAACTGGATTTGCGATAATGTTGCAGAAAAAAGCATAGTTCATGTTTTGTGATATTTATACATTTTTTTTTAAATCTATATACATATAATTCCTCAGTCATACGACTTAGTTAGGGCGATCTATAGCAGCGACAGAATTGAGCGATATACCAAATTAAAGTACGGGCTCCAGAGGTTATCCAAGAATAGTCAGAGATGGGAAGTAACTATAAGACTTTACATATTCCGTTCAGGTATGCCCAACGTGTCTATATATGTATTTCGGTAACCGTTCTAGCAATTTGTACCAAACTCGGAACGGTTATTGTGCTAGCCACATAAACGCAAAACGTTGAAAATTATTGAAATCGGACTAAAACTACGTCCACTTTTTATATAACGGTAAATTTCCGAAATGCTTGAAACCTATATTTCGAAATTTAAGAACGCTAATTTTCTCAAAATTGATACTAACAACAATCCCTTGAAAAGAAGTAACATTATTTGGAATTTTGGAGAATGGGCGTGATGCCGCTCACATAGTAGTTTTCGGAAAGGTGAAAAACTTATACTTGCGCCGGGTATTTAATGTTTGGCCCCGCCCTAACTTAGACTTTCTTACTAGTTTTTTGTGCTATGGGCGTTCGTTTTCGTGTTTTTTTTTTTTTTTGTTAAGAGAACAATAGTTTGAGAATAAATATAATTCATCTGTACCGCGTTTATTTATTTAAATTTTCTGGTTGCAGTTGACCGTGTTTTATACAAAAGTAAAAGGTGTCAGAAAAATAGATAGTGATCACTGTAATCTATTGAAAAATATTAAGCCATTTTCAGTGGAATTCAGATTCGAAAACAATTACATGTGTTATTCATAGTTTTGAAATGTATTATTTTGACACACTCTTTTAATTAATATTTATGTTAAGTACTAACGTAATAAATCCCCTACAGTAGCTTCCGCTTAGTTGGGGATGAGCAATTGGACAATTTTTTGTTTTAATTATCCGCGGAAACCAATCAACCGGGGCTGTCTCAATTTTTGTTTTTTACCAATTTATTGATTAAAATAAAAGGAGGGTCAATTAAATGGGGCATACTGTGTAATCTAATCTGTATAAGAAAAAATACGCTCCTCTCATACAAAATCTAGGCAAATTGCTGTGCAGGCAGACGCTTGCCTCAAATAGAAACTACAAAATATTTGCCTCCTCAAGTTATAGCCAACGTTGAAGCGCACATTCATGGAAGTAAAATTGCCACCATTCCAAAACAAAGTGAAACAAAATTTTTCAAAAATGTTCTATTCGTGGAATGGAAGGCATCAAATAAATGCTGACAATGGCGCAACCGCCTTAGTTCGCATCCACAGACTCGTTCTTGTCCACAGCCGCGCACACTGAGGCAACTTCAGTGACCACGGGCGGAGGCACAACGTACAAAATCCAAAATAGAGCAACCGCGGCAGCGGCAACATCCACCAACAGTATCAGCAGCCGTTAGCAGCTACACTAAGCAATACCGCGCCACGTCGCCGCACAATCTGAAATCGTTTATCTATTTTTGACGAATCAAAGTTCGTTAACACCGCAACTTGTGTGCCATAAAATGAAATAGACCAGACCAGGGAACATCAACAGGCCCAACAACAAGCCCAGCGCGCACATCACGTAGAACAGCGGAGGGAATTCTAGGGGCGGCTCGCATTGCGTAAACTATTTACCAGTGATTTAGTTGAGAAAAACAAAAAAAAAAAACATTTACGCTGCTAGGTATTTTTGTGTTTTTGTTCTGTCTCGACGTGCGGAAAATACTGCGTTCGATGACACTCAGACAAACTTCGTCGACAAAGACGTCGTTGCACATAATTCAAGTGAATTAATGTTGCTCAGTATTTCTTCTATTTATAAAATGTCGCAACTCGGCGGACGCGGGTAAAAATGAAATATTTTTGATTTTATTATTGTGCAACTTTGTTGTGACAACAAATTTTCGTAAGAATCTACCTATTCTTAGATTGGAGATACACATACAAGAAACCAGCCTAAGCGCTATGTTCCATTAAAAACTATCGAAGTATAAGAGTATGCAATGCTGCCTGTTCGCTGTGGAATGGCGCATCGAAATTGCCTACAGAATATTGGCGTTGCAGGTAGAGAATCAGCACCTCGCTCCATTCGCGGCGACGGGCTGCTAATTCGAGATCCTCTGCCACCTCCGTCGTCACAGCACTAACAGTCAGGTGCCTATCGAGCACCACATCAAATCGATATGTTGCCTTGGGGGCCTCATTCACGAAGGCAGAATGCTTAGAATCTCCGTTGCGACTTTGGAAGTATAAGTCCAATTTTTGACAACTTTTTCAGCCAATGGGGCCGTATTTCGGAAATAGTTCGCACAAAAAAATTTACTTTTTGTGTCATGCAGTCTAAAAAATAATTTTAGGAATAGCAAAATTTTAAAACGCCACCAAAATTCGTGGTTATGAGCAAAAAATTTAAAATCGGATACTTGGGTCATAAGTTGGACAGTTTTCAACGGATGCTCAAAATCGTATGTTCGTTGAAAGCGGTGGGTTGTGTCTTTCTACTGCTTTTAGGAAATTTAAGTTAAGTTGATAATAACTGGCTCCGAGGACCAAAAAGCTTGAGAAAAATTCGAAAAAAAATGTTATAGTGACTTTTGGTTTAAATTACACCCCTTATTTGTATTAAACCCATACCTAATGCTTTACCTCAAATAAACATTAGGGCTGTTTAGGATCTTGTGCATATGCTCTTGGATTTGCATAATCGTTGCATTTGTAAATTCACAACAATAAAATGCACACGGCTGCCATGGCAGCGAGCAACAAATATGCAACTGCTATTCCAACTGCAAATCCAAGACCATTTCCACAACATCCTGAACAGCCCTTATGTAGATTTCCCCCTCTTTAGAAAGAACTATTCCAGACTTTTATTGTATAGCGTTGCCACACCTGACTAATTTGTAGTTGGCAGCATTTTTTTCGCTGTGAACAGCAACATTTTCGTTTTGAAAGGATTGGCGAAATTACCTTGTTTTATGCACCACTCATCTACACTAGGGTGGCCCAAAAACAGTAAAGTCGAAATTGTAATGCTCTCACCCCTTAGGATTGTTCTATATCGGGGGTGAGAGCATAAAAATTCCGACTTTACTTTTTCACATACATTTTTGGATCACCCTAATCTACTTACAATACTCAATGCGGAGTAATGGAGTAATGCAATGACTATGCAAAGGTCATCAGCATACATTACACCATCCCTATAGGGAGTAAAGGAACATGTCCCAAAGGCTAGTGGGCTGGACTGCTCGCTGGGAAAAAGTTTTGATTCTGTCTCCATGCTCTCTAGTATACGTACATAGGCTGTATACCACGATGCCGCCGAAGTGCGCTAAAGCGTATTGCATCTACTCCATAGCAGCAAGTTTGACATTACGTACTTACTTATATAGCTACATATGTATGTATCGGGTGATCCATCTACACTTATTTAAATTTAAAAAAAAAAAACACTTTCAAAAAAATAGCTGGATGTCGGAATCTTTATTATGACCCGAACAATTTCTATGACATTGACTTTTTGAAAATAATTTCATTTAAATGTTGGCCGCAGGCGAAACATAACTACCAATAACGAGCGCTGCCCCAACTTTATAACGGCCGTTTTGTTGCCTCAAAATTGAAGCTTGTGATGCCTTCGGGTATGCAGCTTTATAGCCCATTAAATTTTGGTACAATAAGGTGTAAGTTTAAAGTTGCTAAATAATCGCGTTTATTTTTTGCCATTTTTCACGCATTTTCTTCCATACAAAGTGTGCTCGACAATTCTTTTCGTATGGAAAAAATGCAACTTCAAACTTACACTTGCATACTGAAAAAAATTAAAACAAAAAAAAAGTTGATTAAAAAGTTCAAAGTTTATATAAAAAAACAATAAATATTAAATAAACAAAAGAAAGAGGTCAAAATTTGTTAAAATGTTGCGTTCCTATTTATTTTTCCAGCACTGTATGTATTTAAAAAATAATGTAATTTATTGAATTAAAAAAGATTTAGATATTTTCAGCTGCTTGTTTTGCAGTAAGCAGGCTCACTATATACTATCAATTATACTAGCTGATATAATTTGTATTTGTCAACAAAATCTCCTAGATCGTCTTGGGACTCGAACATTCATGAACAAAAAGGTTAAAGTTTCAAAAGCTTCCTCTATGCGTCGCGGCATTCCTTTGTACATATGTATGTATGTACATATGAATGCTCGTCGATGATAAGCTTAAGTGAGTTTACCTTAAAACCGCTACGCATACTTGAAGTGAAGTGCATTTACGTTTCCCAGAAAATGTATTTATATTTTAATTTTATTGTTGTTGTTTGCGTTTATTACTTAATACGATATTCTCGCTTTAAAGTGCAACAAAACAAGCACTTGTTGGCACTTTTCATGAACGATACATACATACACATACATATATAGTACATGTTAAAGTACTTAAAATATACGTGGTTGTTGTGTATGTCTACACTTGAGTATATTTGCATGTATATTTGTATGTTTACATTTAACTAATACGTTATTATCTATTATTATTGTATTTACAGTTATAATGGTTATTTACCGCAAGGTGACCGCGGTCGCAGGCGTTCAAAATTCGTATTATACAAACGCACAGAGCCGAACGGTGTGAAACGTTCCAAACATTATATCGTCCAATCGCCACAGACATCGAAAGCTATACTAGATGCCAATCAACATTCAATATCTTACACACTGTCTCGCAATCAAGCTGTCATTGTCGAATACAAAGAGGACACGGAAACGGATATGTTTCAGGTAAATATACAGGCCGATTCTGAACAGAAACTCCTCGGGAGTTTTGTCTCTTTTCCCTTTCCTTCTAACATGAATAAAAATTCAACTTCAAAACTTGACGGAAATTGGTTGCGAAGCTTTATGCATCGACCGTGTAGCCTGGACCTTGCACCGTCTGACTTCCATTTGCTTCGGTTTCTGCGAAACTCTCTTGATTTTAAAAAATTGGGCTTCCAAAGGGTCGCTGAAAATCATTTGGCCAAGTTTTTCACCGTTAAAATTATCTGATAACTGGCAAAAGGTCATGCGTAGAAAATAATGGCCAATATGTACTTGATTAAAATTGGTTTTCAATGAAGACATTTTTTGTTTTTTTAAGTTTACCCAAAAATCGGCGGAGACTTTTCATATGACCCAATAATATTTTCTACCTTACTGTTATGAGTAGCATATGAAGCCTTTTGTTCCATAATGTTTTGTTTTCGTTATTAACCTGATTATGCAGCCAATTATCTTACAGTGCACTGCTAATAAGGTGTAGCGGTGCTATGAGAATTAAAAATTGTATTATCGTTTTCTATAAATGAGCAATATGGTTTATTCGCGCTTTTTTTAATATTTATCCGTGGACTTTTGTTTTGTAACATTTTGGCAACACAAGCTGAGCATTGGCTAATAAATTTGTAATAAAGAAAAAAATGTATTTAAAAAATTTCTGTCTCCCATATTGCGTGCCAGAACAGCGCTACAGTAAATATGTATCTATTATCAACTGCTTTTTTTCTGCAGTTTTTCATGGAATTCGCATGCAAGCTTTTCATCCATTTTTGCTCCACATGCATAGCTTCACATTCAAGAAAAATCGGTGAAGGTGCCTTTCCGCTAGTATAATGAGGACTAGAAATTGTTGCGTTTTCAATGCAAATATATCGATTTCATATCATTATTTTGTTGTTTATCTTGCCATCTGTCTGGTCTCCGTATGCTCGCTTTTGTCATTTATATACGATATACAACATTTTCCCTATCTTGTTTGATTTGGCTTTTTATGCTCATACTAACACGCTTGTGAATTTTCATCAGATGGCATATTCTGCGAATAGAATTCATGTACGTAAGTACATGTGTACATACATATGAGCATATTTTCCATAGTAATCTAGTAATCATAGGTTCAATAGATATGTCAATAATCCCAAAAGGCTTTCTAAGTATACATACCACCCAGTGGTCAAATCAATATCTTCAATTCCAATTTACTATTGATATTGTTACTAAAGTATTCACTTTATTTAAACTGTTCGAAAAAAGGTACCAAAAATTAGGAATTTTCTTAAAAAATAGTACACTCGCTTACTTAAAAACTCTCGAATTAAAAAATCAAGCTCAATCTGAATCTAAATCGAAATCTGAATCATAATATTTATATATTAATATTAATAATTAATATTATTTTTGTACATCAGCAAAAAGTAATTTTTAAACCAAAATACAACCGACTCAATACTCCTATTAAAATTTACCATTAGTTTCTTCATGATCCAATGTTCGGAACTAAACCACCCCTGCGATTTCACCTTTCCGATAATAAACTAATTATCGAAAACGGTGACCAAAGTTATCGGGTAACATACATAAAAAAAATATTCCAACGAATTGATAACTTCCTCCTATTTTTTGAAGTCGGTTAAAGCAGCTGTTATTTGGAATCTATGAGTATTTATAGTATACATGTTACAGACCTAAAATTTTCATATACATACATACATGCATACCTTCATTCATATCCACTTGCATAACTAAATACATATATGTATGACTTATTTAACTTTACAGGTCGGCCGTTCATCAGAGTCCCCCATTGATTTCGTTGTTATGGACACATTGCCCGGCGATAAAAAAGATGCTAAAGTCATGCAAAGTACAATATCCCGTTTCGCTTGTCGAATACTAGTGAACCGATGTGAAGCATCTAAAGCGCGAATATTTGCAGCGGGTTTCGACTCAAGCAGAAATATATTCTTGGGCGTAAGTTCAAAATAAATGATCCTAAATAAAATTTCATATTAAAATAAATATTTTTATATATTCAAATTATCTCTCTCCATATTTTTGCTTTTCCAGGAGAAGGCCACCAAGTGGCAGGATAATGTCGAAATTGATGGTCTCACCACAAATGGTGTACTTATAATGCATCCAAAGGGTCAGTTCTGCGGTGGCAATGCTAAATGTGGTCTATGGCGTGAATGTTCGGTCGGCGGTGATGTGTTCAGTTTGCGTGAATCGAGATCGGCACAACAGAAGGGACAGCCGGTATTAATTAGAATATAAATTTTAAAAATTTTTGAAACTATCCTCATTTTGGTTACTTTATTTGCAGATTTATGATGAATCGAATGTGCTGCAAGATGGCACATTGATTGATTTGTGTGGTGCCACGCTGCTTTGGCGCTCAGCCGAGGGCTTACAACATTCGCCGGTTTGTAGGAGAGCGTACAGCTTTTGCTCCAGTACACTTACATATTATTTTACTAAGCTACGTTTTTTTTTCCCCCCATTTCAGACCAAACGCGATTTGGAAAAGTTAATTGATGAAATCAACGCTGGACGTCCGCAATGTCCGGTCGGTTTGAATACCTTAGTAATACCTAGAAAAGTGAATATCGGTGATCAAGTGAATCAGCCTTATGTGTACTTAAATTGCGGACATGTACAGGGTATGTGCTTAGCTGCTTTCCGATAGCATCAAAATATTTTGTTGTATTTTTTTTTTTTTAAATTTAATTTGACTTAAATAATTCATACGCGCTATATTTGCTTTGCAGGTCATCACGATTGGGGGCAGGATAAGAGTACTGGTGCCCGTCGCTGTCCCATGTGCCTCGAAGTTGGTCCGGTCGTTACGCTTTGTATGGGTTTGGAACCGGCCTTTTACGTTGATGTTGGTGCACCCACGTACGCTTTTAATCCATGCGGTCACATGGCGACTGAGAAAACAGTCAAGTAAGCATGAATATAAAAGCAAATGGCTTTGTAGTTAGCTCGATGAATGTAATTTTATGAACTGCCACTGAAATTCATATGGTAACCACGATTGTGTCTGCCACTCACTTGAAAGCAAAGTTCCCTATTTCTTAAAATAAACAAGATTTTACCCTGGCATACCATGTGTTTTTTATAAACGAAAATTATGATGACGCATTAACTCCGTTATGTCTGTCAGTCTATTTAGTAAGAATGAACAAGGATTAGAGTTGCTTCGACTCCAGCTACGGGCACGGAAAATAGTAAAAGGAAGTATTTACTTCATATATTCATAAATACTTGACTGCGGTGCCAAGAAGCTGTAGTAGATCCGTTGTAGAGCTGCCAACAATCACTGACAGCTTTAACCATACCACTTTATAGAAAGAAGCCCTATAGATGGCTATGTATTGCACAATTTTACTATGTTGTATTCCTCTATCGCTCCATACATAAATAATTTCCGATACTATGATCGTAATTTCATTTCAAATGAAGCCTTACTGCCGTTGCAAGATACAACGTTCTGGAGTGCCAGTTAGTGCCGAAATTCGATCTGCAGTTTAATGGCTGAAATTTTCTCTATAAGCCATGTTTTTTGTAAAAACTCTTTCATAGTCAGACAGATAGCGCAAGCCTGAAGCATTTTCTAACCATAAGAACTCTCCTAAAAGATACAAAAAAAAAAAACAACAACACGAATCAAAACAAAATTTTAAAATATAAAAACTCTCCTAAAAAAAAAAAACAAAAAGTGTAACAAAAAATAAAAATAAAATAGTTCGCCTAGGACACACTACTGTGTATAGTGAAATTTCTTTGGATTCATTTCTAGGTCACTTTATATAGCCGAAATTTGCCTTTGTTTATTATTAGTTATTTTCAATGACATTTCTTCATCTTTCACAGGTACTGGGCAAATGTTGACATACCGCATGGCACTAACGGTTTTCAAGCGGTCTGTCCCTTCTGTGCGACGCCACTGGATGGCTCATCTGGTTATATAAAGTTGATTTTTCAAGATAATTTAGATTAAATTAGCATAAAATAGTTTATATTTAATTAAAAAGTAAACAAAACATACATATTTTGAGTGCATGCAAAGCGAAATGTTGTAGTTTATCGGCATAAATGTCCAAAAAAAATTGAAAGTAGATAATATTTTGCTGCGAAAGGGCTTTTGGACATTTTCAAAGCAATTTAATGTGTTTCATAAAGAAATGCCATTATTGTATAAACCTTTTGAGTTTAAATGTATGTACATACATATACATAAGTGTTTTCATTTTTTTTACGCGTTGGCTGATAAGCTTTAACATAATATTTCTTATTTATTTGCCATTTGGGCAAAAATATTTACAAATTATTTTAAACATAACATAAACTGAAAAATTTACATACATATATATATATATATATAATATACAATATGTATAGTACATAAATGGAAATGATGAGATACAAGGAAGTATTACAAAAACACAAAGAATATAACAATAATATACATACAAGAAGGCGCATCTAGTTTTTAAAAATCGCAAGGAGAATAAAATCGAAATCGAGAAAGTACGAAATGGTTGCAGATAAAATTGCAGAACTGCAATGTTACGACTTGATATCGAAAGTTAATAATGCATTGTAATGAATTGTAAAGGAATGTAAAATAAAGAACATAAAATAGGTAATGTGAAATTTATAATATGCATTGTACGATTTAAGGCGAACACACACACACACACACACACACACACACAAACACACAACTTATACGTGAATGCGGCACTAGCTTGCATACACTAACACAAGCATTATGAATACATAAATTAAACTTACATTAAAGCTTAATGGAAACTAAAATAAGATCTAACTACGGTACTATGAATGTAAGGCAATCTAGAGCTAAGGTTACTGCGAGGAAAATATGTAGGATGCGTATGTACGTTTGTGCATACATATCGTCATCATCAATGCCGGAGTTCCTTTAAAAAAATTTAATTTTTAACAGAAGCAGCATCTTTCATGAACATAGTTGTAATATGGAGCCCTAACCGCCAAAATAACGTAAGCGACATTTTTTCAAAATTTTCGTTTTTATGCAGAAATATTCCTAGAGCATCTAGATGCATTTCTGCATCAAAAACAAAATTTTGAAAAAAATGTCGCTTACGTTATTTTGGCGGTTAGGGCTCGATATATCTTTGGTCCGTTGGCATCAGAAGAAGAAGAAATAGGCCTATGAAAAAGTATACCAAAATGATTAGAGCGTCGCGCTGAGTCGACGTCTATGTGTCTGTGTTTGAAAACAATCCAGCTAGTCCCTCAGTTGCGAAATATCCGACTTGGTAAGCGGTGACTCTTTAAAACCGTGAAATTTCGTGAGCTATTTATTTATTATTCGGTGGTCTAGAAGGAATATCTCCCATGGTAATAACAGTTCAGATATGAGTTTTCGTTATATAACTCCCTATCTAAGTAGCTAAGGTCGACGATTTTTTTTTACCGTATTCGGTTATCACTAAAAAAGGTCACAATGAAAATCAATTTAGCTCCCAAACAACAATGCAGTTAGATTCAAATTTTCTGATATAGATGAAAGGTATTTATGTACATATGAAGCCTTCGGCATAGTCAAAGAGCACTGTCCATACTTGTTTAAAATGTGTATTTAATTTTTGGTGAGTGGATTTTTGCATTGATAATGGCGATATGTACATAGTTATGTACGTACGCCTTTACTAACACGTAAATAGATGCACTCATGCACATACCTACATAGACAAGAATGCATTCAACAGCCAAATGCATACTTATGTACAGTTTATAATCGTAAATAACAATAACTGATGCAGTACTTTTTGCTAACTCTCACAGTAAATTGAGATTTTCCGTCTAATTTCGTAATGTCTAAGATCTTTGTGTTTGGTACCTTTTCGGTTACGGGCAATGTGAGTGCAATTTTAATACTGTCTTAGAAAGCCTTTTAATTTCTCTAAATAAGGTAAAACAAGAAAAAAAAACAAAAGCAAAAGCAAAAGGCAAATATGCATATATTTAATTACAAATTGAATGAAGAAAAAATAGTAAAAATGTATCCTTTAACTAAATTCAAACCAAAATCTTAATGTGGCTTCATGCGCAAATGTAATTGTAAAAATTAAAATTAATTCATTAAAATTAAATCTATTAAGTAAACATTTAACTGAATTGTGAGATTTAGAAATTTATGTATGCACAATTTGTGTGTGTGTTTAGAATTTAAATAAATTACTTTGCAAATGTAACGATTAATATGTATTCAGAGAACAATGTAAACAACAACAAAAACCAGATGTGTTTGTGCAGTATATTTCGTTTGAAAATACAAAAAAAAAAAAATACTTAAACACATATGTATGTATATTAGCAAAAAACTACGTTCAAGCTGAAATATGTTCGCAAATTTATTAAATTTTATTAAAAACGGAAATTTGTATTGCATAATTTTAAAATTAGCTTTCCAATAGAAAAATATTGCATTAAACATTTTAACATAATCTAATTTCATAAATTATTTTTAATCTTGATTTGCAACTCCACACAAATTGGTTCAAAAATACATATTTATTTCAGCATACTTGCGATGCCAGTTACTTATTTTAGTTGCCTTTACGAAGATTAATTAAAGCATTATTAAGAGGGGCCGAAAGCAGTCATATGTATATCAAGAATTTTATTTCTGGATCATAAAAAATAGTATTTTGGAATTTTATTTTTTTCGATCATTTTTATTCGTTATGATGGAGATGGCGTTTTTATGATCGATTTCAATATTGTATGATTTAATAATTTTAATCTAAAAGTAACGGTTGCAATATGATGGAGAAAGTCAAAATCAAAAATTACGTTCAAAAGTTGATCGAAATAATAAAAATCATAAAATAACGTCTAAATTTGATGGAATAAATGTAAATTCAATATTAACGGTTTAATTATGATTTCTATTTTATAGAGCATATCCGTTACGGACGCTGTTATTAAGTTTTTCAATAGTCCAAAAAAAAAAATAATACATTTTTCTTCATCGACATACAACATTCGACGTATTGGCGCGGAAGAAGTTGAGAATATCTATATAAAAAAATGCTATTTTTTCTAAGCGCTATTCAATAAGTGTGTTAAAGTACTTTAAGTTAATACATAATATAATTACCGTTACTAATGCTGCGCTTGTAATCACGTTTTTGGTAAAGAAATTATCGACGTTTACAACTGCATATGTATGTTTTTTTTATGCGTTGAAATTAAAATTTTTATTTGTTTGTTTTAAAATCTAGGCCTAAATTTAATGATACGTTAATGTTAACAATGAAAAAAAAAAGAAGGAAAAACAAATAATCAAATAATCGGGGCTATCACTGAATCCACCGCTCTCCGATTTTTCTTGAAATCTATGAGTTTTTTTTATCGCTGAATTCAATGAGCTTCCGTAGCAATTCAGATGCAGTGTTCGCATTTTCGTAGATTCCATGAAAATCGGACTACAGTGGATTGAATTATAGCTCCGAATAAATAAATCCTTATATTGAATATCTTTAGAATTTAAATAAAAGAGTGTAATTAAATTTACTGAATTCTATGATAAATAAAGATCAAATGAACTGAATACAAACGTAAAATACAGATTGTGTTTTATTACGAATTGAATACAAAGTAGGGCTTTCGATTTCTGCTCGCACATTCTCGAGCATTTCGATACCCGGGAAATCGAATAATCGAGCTCTCGACGCAATCTCGGGTATCGCCATTCTCACGAGTATCCGAAAAAATGTATGTGTACATGTTAAATATTATATTCGCAAAAAAAAAAAACAAAAAAAAAGACGTTTGTGCGTAGATACAAGAAGAAATTAGGTCAATGTATGTACGCACTAGGTTGATATGCTGGAGAGCGACGAGCATTGCGTTTGAAAGAAATTCAACAGTACAGGGTTTAAATACCCTAAATTAAATACGCTGCCTTAAATTGATCATCGAGAAGCTCGCGAGTATAACGATAACGTCGTGAGAGAGCGATCGTCGTGAGAAAGTGTCAAAATACGGTGTAAAGTGTTTTCAGTGTTAAATAAAACAGCCAAAAATATTTTTAAAGGTCTGTTTCAATATCCATCCAGCAGGATACTCAACACCACTCGATCGTTTTGCTAATAGCGTGGGAAGAGAGCAACGTTAATAGGGATTAAAAAAATGTATGGTGATTTCTTTCTATCAAAAAATTAAACTCTTTTCTCAGTGTATTGCATTAATCGGCGCGTGGTATGGCCTACGACGTTAAGGCATATTGGCAATCACTTCACCTTTAAGTATCCTTTACAATTCCTTTTAAAGAAAAACTCAACTCGCCGACATAAAGTGAAAACAATTTCTTTTTTATGTTTTATTATCTTCAATAATATTCATATTACATTCAATATAAGACAGATGCAATGTGTTTATAACCATTTTATTGTATTTATGTATGTATGTATGTATGTACGAAGGTAATCATTTTTCGTTTACTTCATTGTTCTGACATCTACTTGCAATTCGTGAAAACTTATTTTTTATTTTTTGCTTTGTCTTTAATTTCGGCTTTGAATTTTGAATACAATTACATAATTGCCTCTTAGGTTTTGCACATAAACAGCAAATTTTGATCGAAACATTTTCGTATTTTTTTTTATATTATTATTATTATTTTTTTTATTGTCAATGTTGCAATGCATTTTTCTCAGTGTTTGCAATGTGTATGGGTGAGAATGTTTGCATTTTTATTGTTTTTACAAGTTTAAAAATGTTTTGAAATGACAAAATATATGTACTTTAAATACATATTTTATACTTTGAGCGCTTTCTTCTAAATTTTATATTTTAACACTTCCGGACTGTTTTGTATCCGGACTGTTTTGTATTTACATAACATCCCATTGCGGTTCGTGAATTTTATTACAGATTTTCAATTTGCTTTTGCAAATAAATTTAATTTTCTATCGCAATTTTTTTTTGTGAATCTTTGTTTTTTTTTTAAGTTTCCAATTGGCTTTTGAAACTAAATTTACTTTTCTGTCGCAACTTTTTTATGTTAATTTTTGTTTTTTTTTTTGCAGCAGTTTTCTATTGTTAAATCACTAAAATGTATGCCTTTTTGTTTGCGCTGTGCTATGCTAGTATGTTTACAAATTCTAATTTTTTTTATGATACCTACATAAATTTGTATGTAGTATGTGTGTTATGCTTTGTTATGAATTGTTCATTATATTTCTATATGCTTTTAATTTATTTTAATTTTTTTATTTGTGAATTTTCGAATACATGCAAAATCGTTCTTTTTATATTCAAACATGTTTGTGTATGTATGTATGTATGTATGTATGTTGGTAATTTCTGTTTAGAAGAGTGAAAAAGCTCATGCATTTTACATAATTAATTTTTTTTTTTTTGTGCTTGGAGTGAAGTTACAGTAGTTTCTTTATCGTTCTTTTTCTCTATTTAATGTAATTGGAATTTGTGATTTAGGATTAAATTTAAATAGTTATGATTTTTTTTTTGTTCAAGTTTCTATTTGAATTAGTTAGCAAATATTCACAGTGAGTGAGTTGAATGAGAACAATAGAGCTATCTAAAAATCTTCCTAAACATATCATTTACT